AGTAAATCCAGCAGGAAAACAGGAACATTGTAGAATTCTCCACCTCCTCCCTAGCTGCCTCCAGGGATTTGATAGTGTTACTATCAAGGACGAGTCCTTGCTTCCCCAATGTTGAAGAATAACACCAGAGAAGCACGCCGAGGCAAGGTCAGAGTGGAAAATTAGAAGTTTATTAAAGGACAGCAGAAAAGACTTCTCCCTGAGGAAGAAGGGGACCCAAGAGATGGAATCCATGGAAGTGCGGTTGTCTCTCCATTTTATAGTTTTCGGTGATGGAATATAGGTGGGAAGGCCAGAAGGGTTGGGACACAGGTGGGCCAAAGAAGTAATCTGGGCACTTCTGAGTCAGCATCTTCAAGTTTGCTCTTCATTAAAATTTCTTTGGGATGGGCTATCTTCAAATCTGTTGGGGGCTGTTTCCTGGACTTCATTAACATTCCGAGAGTTGCTCAACTTTTCCGGGAATTCATTCTCAACATGGCCTCTATTTTAGATTTCACTCGATATTAGACCAGATTTACCTAACTACACTGACTACCTAACTTTAAATCTGGCTTCAGTAGTAGCAGTAGAAGGCTGAGTGGTTGGAATGTCCAGTCAGCTGCATAGTTTGCCTTTTGCTTCTCCCTTTAGTGGATCTAAAAGTTTCAGTTTATGTACAAGTATCAGGCTGTCTACACAAATCTGTATTGCTTATATTTATTGGGCAATTCAAACAATACAAGGTATTATGGTTTAGATGTGAGGTGTCCCTCAAAAGCTCCTGTGTGAGAGGATGTGAGAAAGTTTAGAGATGAATCGATTGGGCTATCAGAGCCTTAACCTAATTATTTTTGCATTAATCCCCTGACAGGGATTAACTGGGTGGTGACTGTAGGCAGATAGGGAATGACTGGAGGAGGTAGGTCCCTGGGGGTGTGTGTCTTTGGAGTATACATTTTGTCTTGTTGAGCAGAGCTCTCTCTCTGTCTCTCTGCTTCCTGGCTGTGTCCTGAGTCACTTTCCTCCACCACATTCTTTCACCATGATGCCCTAGATCACCTCAGGCCCTGAGGAATGGAGTCAGCCATCTATGAACTGAGATCTCTGAAACCGTGAGCCTCAAATAAAATTCTTCTTGTCGGGTCTTTTGGTCAAAGCAAGGAAAAATACTGACTAAAACCCTAGGTATCTACTTGGGTGATTTTGACACTAGACTCCGTTTAAAGGCTGGTAGCTCTAATGAGATGTTAATCACAGAATAGATGCAGCATCTGCTGTCCAACCACCATGTGTTAAAATGCCTGCCTGCCTGACCCCGGATATGTAAATGTGAACTGCATGTGGGTCTTGCATCCAGAGTGTCCAAGTGTAGTGGAGAGAAGTTGACAACTAGAGTGCCACAAAGGCTCTGCTGGGAGGAAGCAAAGGACAGCAAGATAGTGAATGTGTTGGCTAAAGATTTAAAAGTGCATTTCCATCTCTGTTATTGACAACAAAGAGTTTGGGCCTGTGTGTTGATATTTCCTGCAGAGCTTAATGAGGCCTTTTGCCTCTTGTCAGGTCAAGGATGGCTCGCCCTGATCATTAGTACTCTGCCTGGCGGATTTGGTAGCTTATAGCCTCTCAACCAGGGATGATATTTGTCCCCTAGAGGCCATCTGGCAATCTGGAGACATTTTTTGATTGTGGTGACTGAGGAGGGCTGTTGACCTTTAATCATGGGTAGAGGCCAGAGATGCTGCCACCTCCGTACAATGCATAGAGCAGCCCCCTGACCCCAACAATAATTATGGCCCCAACTGCTAATTGTATCAAGTGTGAGAAAGCCAGAGCTGGAAACCTCCCCAGAATTTCATCAGAAGCAACAGGGTCTGCCTTTAGAGCTCGCTGTGTCCTCATGGAAATAAAAATTAGAGAGGACAGAAATGTGGGCTCCTGAGGGTAAAATGTGGACTGGATTTTTCTGTCTGCAGTTGGGTAGCTGCCTCCACCCCAGAGGAGACATGCTGCTGCCCCCACCCTTGCTGTTTGTTCATGGGGGAAGCCCACAAGGTCAGCTGGGCTTGGCTGGGCTGAGTGAGTCCCCAGGGAAGGCCCTGCTTCCTCCTCCTCTCAATGGCCATTTTGTCCACACTGGTCTCTTAGGAGACCTGGGAGAGCCTCCTTATTGTATTCTCACCTGTTCAGCAGGTTTTCCCTGAGCAGTCTTTGAGAAATAAATGCCAGTTAAAGGGGCAGGAAAACAAGCCTGGCCTTTGATTCCTCGAATGTTAAATGAGTTTTATGTAGGGGGAGGTGGTGCTTAAGCTGCATTTTTATTTCTCTGACCTATTTACTTAACCCCCAGGACTGTGTGCCCTTTGTTTCCAATGGTGTTACCTGATAGGGACAGAATCTGGGTGCACAGTAGAGCCTGCTTTCTTAATTCTTATTCTAAGGTGTAGAAGCTGAATTTGGATTCTGAATTGAAGTGATATAATACAGATAGAATGCATTGTTTTTCCAACGCTAAAGTATTCAAACAAGAGTGCAGACTATTAAGAGGAAGCCCAATTGTCTGCTTGTGTTTGCACCTATGAGACACCGTAATTATTTAACAAGTCCCTATTGTTACATATCCAACTGTTTTCAGGTTTGGGGAGTTAGAAAGAAAGCAGCAGTTGGTATTGTTATGGTTAGGTTAATAATTGTTTCTTGAGGATAACAGCCTAGAAAATTAAAATTACTCAAATGGAATGCAAGATTTTCAGCATTTTGGTAAAGGTCCCCTGGGAAATTTATACTCTGAACAGATGTGCATGGACATGAACTTCCTTCTTTTGAAGTCACAAGCCAAGGGGTATCATCGGGCTCCTAAGGGTCAAGGGCCTGGGGATCAGCCTGCCAAGGTATGACCCAACTCATTCTCTTACTACTCTTCCCCTTACTTGGCTTCAACAACTCACTATTACCTAGTATGTTCCTGCCTCAGGGCCCTCGCACTTGCTGTTTCCTATGCCTGGGACATGATTTCCCCACAAGGCCCCTTCCTCATCTCTCATAGGTGTGTACTCAAGTACTACCTTCTTAGTGAAGTTTTATTTTTATCTATGTTCTTTTTTGCTACCTGACACCTAGGTTTGCTGCTGTATCATTAGCCTGGAGAATAGGCCTGGCTTGGAGTTGAGGCTCAATGATTATTTGTTGAGTGAGTGATTCAGCCACTGCTTTGTAGATTTGCCCTCCCTGGTCATCGCTGATTAGCTTCACAGCAGGCTTCCCTGATCATCCTTGGCCAAAGGAGCAGCAGTTTGTTTTGGTTCATTTCCTTGACTTGTCAGCTCTGCTGAAGTTGGTTATTTACGTTGTGGAGGCTTCATTATTAGCTCTGCTATCTCTATCATCGCAGCGATGTCCAACTGCCATTGAGATTTGGGACAGACTGACAAGGCTTACCCTGGTCTGATAAACAATGAAAGGCACATGTTTCATTAAGATCTTCATAAAGAGATCACTTTCCTAAAAAGTAAAAAAAAAAAAAAGACCAAGAACTTGACAGAAAAGGGCAAAGGACAGTTCACAGGAAATTGAACATGTACGTTTTCCCCTTCATCCAGCCTCACTCAAAATCAGAAAAATACAAGTTACAAGTACACTGTGATGTTTTTCAGCCTGTCAGGCTTGTGAAAACTCTGTTGGAGGAATGTGTAAATAGGCAATCTCGTATATTGCTGGAGGAAGCATCTAAATTGGTGGCACCTCTGTGAGGGATGTTTGAAAATGGCTCTCAAAATGTAAAACTTCATACGCTCTTTGCACTAGCAGTTTTACTTCTGTGACTTTTTTGCAAGGATATACTTTCACATATGCAAAAAGGATGTTTGCTTTGCTTAATGTATCCCAGTCTTGTTTATCATAGCCAAAGGTAAGAAATCATTTAAACACCCACAAGAGAGACCTGGTTCTCCAGCTAGGAAACATCCTACATCTGGCTGCAGTGTAGCTGTGTACAGATTAAGGATGCTCCATTGTAGTCACATGCAAAGATTGATAAGATAGGCTAAATGAAAAAGAAGGAGAGGATACAATGCTGTCTTTTATGTAAAGAGAGTGTAACAAGCAATGGGATATTTTTGTGTTTATCTTCCATACATGAAGACATTCAGGAGGGAGGCATAAAAAAACAAATTACTTTGAGTGGCTTGAAGGGGTATAAGTGGATATTGAATAGTGTGTGACATGGGGAAGGGGGACTACTCTGTACATCTTCGTATGCGCGTGCACACACACATTCACACACGCACACACACACAAGATCACATGGCCGTTTTACCCACTTAAAAAAATTAAGTTTAATAAAGAAATGGGGAGAGGCAGTAGAGGATGATTGTTACTTCCTTTGTGTAATCAACGCTCATTCAAAGGAGAACTCAAGGTCTCTTCTGAATGTGGTCCTATCCGCTCCTGTACATTTTCTTTCCCCGTAGACACATTGTGTGAACTGGCCTTGGGGAATGTGTGTGTGTGTACGTGTGTGAACTCTCAGGGCATTTCTCCTTCCTCATGATATCCTGGTTGCTATAGTGCGGAGATCTATTTGTGACACAGAAAATGCTTTAAATAAAAGCTGCTTCCTGACCATGACTTCCTGGGCAATGTGTCCTTCCGGAGACTGCTGAGCGCCAGGCGCTGACATGTGTGTCTGGACAGGGTAAGCCCTGCCCATTCAGCCCCTGGGCACTGGTGGGAGCAGAACCTGGTGGTAAGGGGCTGCTGTCTTCCCATGCAGAAGTTGCACAAGTTGGTCTCACAGGGCAGTGTCCCCTAGAGACTTTAACTCCTGGGTGTTGGCACAGTCCCCCCATCTTTCTTCTTTCCTCAGGAGCTTGTGGTGCACCCCCTGTGTCTTCAGCACCCTGCACCAAGGGGAGCCGTTTCTTATACCTAAACCACCAGTGAAAACAGGAAGTGATGAAGCAGAATTTGCCCTGCATCTGCACTGAACGACTTCTCTTTCTCTTTTTGTCATTCCTCCTTAGGTGTAGACACGTGTGGCTGTCCACGCTGTAGGATCCTCAGTTCCAAGGGCTTTGGACAGTCTTGGGGTTCACAATGCCGCCACCCGCGGACATCGTCAAGGTGGCCATAGAATGGCCGGGAGCCTACCCCAAGCTCATGGAAATCGATCAGGTTAGTAATGCCCACGGCAGTGGGGTGGTTATTTTCAGTTTCCTTTCTATACTAGAATGTTTATAGACTTTGGATAGCCCCCCTTTTCCCCTTTTCGCTCTCTATTGCTGTGCTGAAAAATATATACAATAATAGTTGCAGTGTAGTTTAATTTCTGTACCACATGCAGTGGCGATGGATGGGGTTTTTATCTTCTTGCAGCATCTACTTGAATTGTGTCAATACGGGGTTTGTGTCTGAAGCACAGAAGAGGCGGGAGGGACTGTGGATTGGGCTCTGAGCAGTTGACACTGCGGAGGCTGTCCCAGCCCTGCCTTGCAGTGACACATGAATATGTGCAGTTTGTTTTCACATAAGCAACACACAACTTAAACTTTAAAATCATTTTTGTCATTGCATTTTGCAGAAGCAGCCAACAGGTACATTAGCACTTTGTCATTTTAACAGCTTTATAATAAAATTAGGATAGAGGGGCTCAGTCTTGGATCCCAGCCAACTGTAATTTTATTACTAGTATAGAATTCACAATGTGCCTAGCATACTGTCTGGCATGTAATACATACTCAGTAAATATTTATTGAGTGAAAAAATATCATGATGGTTTATGAGAATGATTTTACCTCTCAAAGCATCCTTTAGCTTGGATCTTGACAGTCATGTGGTGTGGTTCTCACTGTTTGATTAGAGATAGTCTAAGGAAGAGTATTTTGTGTTTATTGTACTATAGTGATTCTAGAGAAAATGACTGAAGGAAAAAAGGTTGAAATTTAATATACACTTATGGATTCCAAAATGCATATAATAACAGGATTCTAGATGGTTTTATACATTTTCAGAATTAGGATACCATAGCAACTCTAATTTTATGTTTCTGATATGATTTTATATTTTAGATTTGCAACTTTTTTCCTGATGAGATTTTGTTATCTGGTTAAAGACAAGAAAATAAATGCCAGGGTTATATGGCACTTTGTGAACCCAAAGGAATCATTAAAACAAATGATACAGATCATGTAAGAGTTAGTTGAACTTAAACTTGAATGGAAGAAAGGGTATATTTGGGGGATTGTTGTCAAAAAGGTGCAATTCAATCCGAATCTTACATTGTTTTAATTGATCTCTGGTGTGTGTGTGTGTGTGTGTGTGTGTGTGTGTGTATGTGTGTGTGTGTGTGTGAGAGAGAGAGAGAGAGAGAGAGAGAGAGAGAGAATCTAGAAGCGACCTATGCAACTAGAGAAGAGTACAGATGGATAGTAGTTTTGTACACATTTGTCAGGTAGCAAGTGTGGTTTTTTAAAGGTTGTTGGTTAAATTTTACCTTTAAGAAATACTTGGCGCCAATTAAACCTATTTAGGATTAGGTTTGGTTACAATGTAAGAGGACAATGACTTCCAGAAGTTGGTCTCACATGTTGCTGTTCTGCATTAACACAAGACTGCTTGGCAGTGTGCGCCCAGGCCCTTCTGCCTTCTTGCTTTGACCTTCTTGGTACCTGGGGCTGAGGACCAGATGCTTGGACATCACCTGGGAGCTCATTAGAAATGCACATTCTTAGGACTTTCCTAGACCTTTGGTCCAGAATGTGCACAATAACAAGATCTCTAGGGGGTCTTTGTGCACTGTTAAGTCTGAGAGGTGCTGAGCTGAGTACCTGGTGCTTATCAGAACCGCCTGGGGGCACCTGTTCCAATAAATGTTCTTGATGGCTTCCTCCCAAGAGAATCTTAATTTAGTGGTTCTGATGAACTATTTAGTTTTGACTCAATCACAGTTGGTAGAGTTTGCAAATCTCTGCTCTAACACAGCAACTCTTGATATGTATATATTCCCTGGTATTTGGAAGTTGGTGTAGTGTTCTTTGCTATGTGTGTGTGTGTGTTTTAATACTTTTCTAAAAAATAATATTTTAATTTTACAATCTTTTCTGATTTACGGAAAATTGCAAAGATTCTATACTCTTATGCTTATATCCTTCTCTCAGTTTCCCCTAATGTTAACATTAACACCTTAACACAATCTTACTACAATTATCAAAACTAAGAAATGAATATTGGTATATTACATTAACTAAACTACATACTTTTTTTGGATTTTACAAGTTTTTCCACTAATGTCCTGTTTTTTTTTTGTTGTTGTTGTTTATTTGTTTGTTTGTTTTGTTTTCGGTTCTAGGATCCAATCCAAGAATACTATCACATTGTATTTAATTGTTCTATTTCCTTGATCTTCACCAATCTTTGGTTTCATAATGTTTCCTTTTTTTTTTTTTTCTCTTCATGGCCTGATAGTTCTGAGGAATAACCATTTTTATATGGTTTTTAACACAGAGAATTTGTGAGAATTGTACAAAGAACTCTTTATTTATTTATGTACTGTTTTTATTTTTTGGTACTAGGGATTGAACCCAAGACACTTAACTACTGAGCCATATCCCCAGCTCTTTTTAAAAATATTTTATTTAAAGACAGGGTGTCATTGAGTTGCTTAGGACCTCACTAAGTTACTGAGGCTGACTTTGAACTTGTAATCCTCCTGCCTCAATCTCTCCAGCTACTGGGATTACAGGCGTGCACCACTACGCCTGGCGATGAAGAACTCTTTACCTATGCTTTTTCTGAATGACCTGAGGGGGGTCACATGTGCACTACGCACCTTTCCCATAATGATTCAGTGTGTATTTTCTAAGAAAAAACTCATCTTAATATATGGTACATGTACACAAACTAGGAAATTGAACACTATATTATCAAATTCACGCTTCACAGTCCATATTCACATGTCATCGATTGTTGCAATAAGGTCCTTTATAGTTATTTCCTCCATAGTCTAATATCCTGAGTGGGATCAGTACTATATTTATTGTCATGTCTCTTTGGTCTCCATTGATCTGGTACAATTCTTCATTCTTTATTTTTCCTGACAATTTTGTAGAGTACCGGACAGCTATTTTATGGGAAATTCTTTAATTTGGAGTTTTTTTGATGCATCCTACCAATTAGATTCTGGTTTTGCAGTTTCGGAAGAAATACCACAGCTATGATGCTATTTTTTGGTGTGTCATGGCACCCAGCATTGCTTTCTTGCATTCTTGGTGATTTTTCTGATTTTGCAGATAAGAATATTAAAGTTCAGAGAAGTTACATGATTTAACAGTCAGTGGCAGACCAGGGCATAACCCCCCAAACTTTCCTTCCTTCTAAGACTGAACTTTTAAACAGTTGACTAATTTATAGGCTTCCTGGTGATGCCACATTGAGACATAGACAAAAAATAGGAACTCAGACTGTTATTGTCTGCATATGCAAAAGTTGGAGGGAAGCTCATGGCAGAGTTGATATCAGGTAGTTTATTTTTATTTTTTTGATGGAATCAGATCTTGGCATGAGAATTGGAAATGTACTTGCAAGTCCAATGAAGAGTTAGGTTTTCTCCTAATCTTCTACCTTGCTCCGTAAGGAATGTTAGTCTCATTTAAAAATCTCTTCACTTCTTTTTAAACTGGATAGCTACTGTTTCACTAAAAGATGTTTTCAGGGTTTGGGTTAGGCATTGTTGCTTTGTGTTGTGAGATCTTGAGTATCTATGCACTTATCATATGTTGTCACTGTCTCTCACACCAGTGATCCTCAACTTGAGTGTGCACAAGAATCATTGAGAAAGCTTCTACAAAGTGCATACTCCCAACTTCTATTGCAGATATTCTGATTCTGGGTCAGGGCTGGGGCCTTTAATTTGGGTCTGTAATAAGCAGCAGATGAATTCAATGCAGAGGTTCCTACATACTGAGACTGTCATTTGACAGGAGTTGCTTCATCTTTGCTGTTTCTCCAGTGTCTGATTAACAGTCCTCACTTAATAAGTTGATGTAGCATTGGTGAGTTAGTGAGAGGAGGAACTTCCTTACTGGTGATTACCTTAGGGTGCTCGGTTCTTCTACTCAGCCATTCTCAAAAAATGCCAATTGTGTTCAAGGGGCTGTCTTGTCTGCACACAGTGGACTTGTTGACCTTCTTTGTAACAATTTTCAGGAGACAATTCTGTTTCCACTAGGCAGGTAAGTCTCAGGAGTTCTTTACCAGTGGACTTTGCTGTATCACATGAAGCTCTGCAAACATTCCTGGCTTCTTTTCTGATCTTCACTGTGTATTGTTGAGTTCCAACCTCAGGGGCCGCTTGAGGCTAAGGATGATGGTTGTGTGGATATACTAAAGCTAAAAGGCTCCCGTGACCAATGTTGTTAACTTAGCTTTTACTGAACGGTCTGTTTCTCAGTCAAGAGCATGGAGCTCCAGAACTTTGAGAAGAGGCACCACTAAGATACAGAGTGGACAGTACAGACTCCAGGGACACTGAAACAGAGGTGTTAGTTCCTTTGGCTGCTATAACATGAAATTTAAAACTGGCTAGTTTACAAACAACAGAGATTTATTGCTCACAGTTGTGAAAGCTGGAAAATTCAAGATCAAGGTAACAGGTTATTCAGTGTCTGGCAAGGACCTATTTCTCACACGTAGGCCTTCTGTGGTCCTGATCTGGTGGGTACAGCAAGCAGGTGCCCTGGAGCCTCCTTTGTAACCATCCTTAGGATCTAATCACCCCCTAAATAGACCTTCTCTTAATACCAGCATCATAGGGAGGTAATTTCAACACATGGGTTATGTGTGGGACACAAACACTCATACTGTAGGAGTCTGAGAGCCCTGATTTCTGTGGGAGATTCAGTTAGCGTCTTTGAATCTCAATTTCCTTGTCTTGTGAAAGCAGAATAATAACTTGCTACTCTTATGGTTTTTGTGAAGATAGCATGTGAAAAGAATGTAGCATATTGCCTGCTTCAGAGTAATGCCTCAGTAAGGCAGCTGGGATTGCTGCTAGTTTAAGCAAGTTTTCATTCAATTGGAAAATTAGATATTCTAGTTTTCTTTTTTACCTGGCCTTCCACTGTGAACAGTTCCCTACTGCATCCTGTTTTATCCTAACTTTGTTAATGTTTAAAAAG